AAAAAAGTCAAAAGTAGTTCCAAAAGTAGATTTTAACCCCAACTGAGTGATCTTTAGCTTGCTAAAGCACTGTGTATTGAAAACAATTGCCATGTTTATTAAATAATATACTTTTTTCACCTTTTTATTATACAGCAGTTGGTGAAGCTCCGTGCTGCTGATTTTCTGCAGCCACTTTCTGTCAACATGGCTGCATTGGATTTCTCATGGAGGGTTTCATGATGGTGACAACAGTGGACCATGCCTGTGTAATATGTGTTGAAACACACACTTGTTTTCTCCTTTAGAAGCCTGTCTGACAGGGTGACAATACAGAAGCACAAAAGGGAGACAGGGACACAGAGCTGTCACCCTGTAACAATAAGTAACTGAACAAGGACTTTAACAGCAGGATCACAAGGTAATATTTTATGAAAGGCTCTACGTTTAAAAATATTGACAATAATGTCTGAATTTGTTAAAGATTATTTATTTATTATTTATTTTTTTTCAGGTACTTATATAGCGCTGTCAATTTACGCAGCACTTTACATACAGTATATATTGTACATTCACATCAGTCCCTAACCCTCAAGGGGTGTACAATCTAAGGTTATGAACAAGTGAGTACATTAAAGTGGAAGAGATTTTTGTGCATAGGTTTACATATACTTAAATTCATTGGCAATAAAGTGGCTAAGTGGTTGGCATGTCTGCCTTGCAGCACCAGGGTCATTGCTTTGAATCCCAACCTGCCTGGAGTTTGCATGTTCTCTCTGTGCTTGCGTGGGTTTCCTCCGGGTACCCTGGTTTCCTCCCACACTCCAAAAAACATGCTGGTAGGTTAATTGACTAGTAGTATATGTATGTGAGTTAGGGACCTTAGATTGTATGCTCCTTCAGGGCAGGGACTGCTATGAATGTGTAATATATACATAAAGGGCTGCGTAAATTGACAGTGCTATATAAGTACCTGGAATAAATAAATAAATTGCCTGGTTTACCTATTTTGTATGATTGTAAGTTATGTTTTAATTTATAGAAAAATATCACAACACACAACTAAACCAGTTATTGGTGCTTTTAGTGTGAATATTTAAATCCCTATTAATCTGCACAGATTAGGTATTCATGTAATCCATACAGGCAATAGAATACATATAGTGGTACTTTTTACTATACTATTGTGTTTTGGAAGTGTACAAAAGTTAAAGTCTAAATACACATGCAATTTCTTTTCTTCTGACAATTTGAATGAAAGTGGTATGCTTATTTAAGACTATCCCATTCTACCTAATTTAGGAGGATTCATTGTGATGTGGCAATTACTTTTTTTAAGGTTACCAACAATTGTTTCAAAAGCACTGAGCTTCATCTACAATTGCCATGTTTTTTTTTAATTAAAATTGTTGTTTTCACCTTTTTTTACTGTTCATCTCCTGCAGCTTTTTGCAGCCAATTACTGTCTACATGCTTGCACTTCAAGGGTGGCATTGTTCCAGGTGGGTTTCCTGATTATGACAGCAGTTGACAATGCCTGCATAAAGTGTGCAGAAATGTCCACTTGCAGTCATCTTCAGAAGCCTATTTGACAAGCACATATACAGGAAGCGCCTGGATAAGGGACTTCATGGTGAGTCCTCCAGGTACTTTTAATAAGAGCTGCAGATTATTATTTTTTTATTACAGGTACTTACATAGCGCAGATAATTTACGCAGTGCTTTACATATATATTGTACATTCACATTAGTCCCCTGACCCTCAACGGGCATACAATCTAAAGTCTCTGACTTACATTCAAACATACACATACTAGGGTCATTTTATAGAGGAGTCAATTATTATTATACAGGATTTATATAGCGCCAATGTATATTGTACATTCACATCAGTCCCTAACCCTCAATGGGCATACAATCTAACCCTCAATGGGCATATGGGCATATATTTCCCCCCCCTAACCCGCAATCTAAAGTCTCTGACTTACATTCATACATACACATACTAGGGTCAATTTATAGAGGAGTCAATTATTATTATTATACAGGATTTATATAGCACCAACAGTTTGCGCAGCGCTTCACAATATAACGGGAGACAATACAATTACAATACTTTCAGTACAGAAGGAATGTGAGGGCCCTGCTCGTGGAGCTTACAATCTAAAGGAAGGGGGAGATGATACAAAAGGTGATAGCTGCGGGGGATGATTTGGTGGAGGTTATTCAAGTACAGTTCTTAGGTGGAGGTGGAGGTGGGGTAGACTTCCCTGAAGAAGTGTGTTTTCAAAGATCGCCTAAAGGCAGACAGGGTGGGGGCTGACCGGACTTGCTGTGGTAGGGAGCTCCAGAGGATGGGAGAGGCTCTGGAGAAGTCCTGGAGGTGAGCATAACCTACCAGCATGTCTTTGGAGTGTGGAAGGAACCCAGAGTGCCCGAAGGAAACCCATGCAGGCACAGGGAGAACATGCAAACTCCAGGCAGGTGGTGCTGTGGTTGGGATTTGAGCCGGCAACCTAGTACTGCCAGGCAAAAGTGCTAAGCATTTAGCCACTGTGCTACCCTTATTGAAAAATAATTTTATATTCACATTAACATTTTAAAGATTTTATGATATTTTAGTTATTAACGTTTATATAGGCTTTCATTTTGAAATCTGTACAGTATATTTTTGGTGCTAAAAAAAAGCATGAATACTGCCCCAGCTACCTGGTGTAAAAAAAGTTAGCAAAACCATAATGGTGGAATGATTACACAATAAGTTTTGGAATGTTTTCACTAATAATATATTATGACTGTTTTGAATGAAGCAAGTAATGATGTCTTCTTCAGAGAGTACAGAGTTTGTTAGAAATGATCTTTTTAATGGTAAGTACGATAGGTGCTAACACATTACAACACAACTATGGTGTGAAAATACTATTCTAACAAACTGCTACCTACTTATGTAGAGTCCTAATGAGTAGCTATATCTACTAAGATTTCATACTTCCAAATCTTGTTTTTAGTGACAACATGGAACATTATATTATTAGAAAAATATAAAATCTATTAAAAAGATGCAGTATATACAGTTTTCAACAAGTAAAACCAGACACTAGCATATTTAAAAGAAAAAGAAAAACAGTCTAAGGAAAAACATGTACTCAGATATGTGTTCTTTCTTTCAGTGCTACACACAAGGGATTTTTACTCTTCATTCAGTCAGCTGCAGCTTAGCATCTAGTATTTTCCTCACTTGAGCAGCCTAAGATCACTTTTTTTTTTGTACATTTTATCTCTAATATAGTTGCTGCAAATTCTTCATTCTCTCATTTATTTTTAATTACTTTTCCTTTCCCTATTCATGTCTTTTCACTTTGCTGTGTCCTCCTGGCCCCTCATTTTTTTTTCAAATTTCCCTGATTTGGCAGCCATTACTATACACTTATGTTCCACTATGTTTACAGAAATAGGTTGCTGGAGACCACTCTAATCCAGGCACATCAGATTGAATAGAAACAAAGTGCTGGATGAGTGTGAAGAGCAGAGACGTGATGAAAAGTGTAGTGAGCTTAAAGGCAAATTATAACAGTCTTATGTTCTTCTTTTTAGGTCAAGGTTTTAAAATTAGTGTTTTGTCTTTTATTTTAACCATTAGAACATTGTTATAGTACAAATAAAACAATAGTGCATATAAAACACACTATATATATATATATATATATATATATATATATATATATATATATATATAAAATGCATAAATACAATAGAAAATCCAGACATGTTTAAAATTCCTATTACAATCCACAAATTAGGTTTTCCTGCACACATTACTGTAAAGGTTTACAGTATGCTTGAAAGTATAAAGAAACTGACCAGACTCCAACTACAGTACAGGCACTTGCTTAGTCCGACTGAGGTTCACATTTGCTGCTGCCAAGATTTATTTCAACAAAATGTTGCATGGCTTTGTACAACAAAAAAAGGCTTTTGATTTGGGGGCAGTATTTTGGAAACTTTGTTTATTTTGTGGGTTTACCGGTTTATAGATTATATTGACATAAGCTTTTAAGGTTAAACTTTTTTTTTAAGGATTCCCTTAGGCCAGGTTCACATCTGTGCAGGTGGTGCCGCTGCGGATCCGCATGCAAATCTGTGCAGTTGCACCACCCGCACAGAGAAATGTGGACCAGCGGGCAGGTGTTATTAGTTCTAATGGCACGCCACCCGCACTGGAAAACGCAACTGTACTGGGAACCGAAGCGTGTCGGAAGAAGTGCAGGGACTTCTTCCCTGCGTGTCACGGGGCACGGGAGTCCATTCAAATGAATGAGCTCTTGTGCCCGCGCAGAACGCGACCCGCACGGCTGCATATATGTGAACTGGGGCTTAAAGGCTAAGTTCACCTTTTGTAAAAAAAAAAAAAAAAAAGAAAAAAAAAAAACGAACATGGTTTTGCAGGTAAAAAGAAAAAAATGTGCATTTATTATGTTTTAACCCTGCTGCAGCATGTAAAGCATTGCACCCGCGATCGAAATCAGAAAGACACTCAGCCACTATCTGGGCTCCCTGCAGACAGAGCTCAGAATAAACTATGAACTATCTGGCAGTTCATTGATACCTCGTGGTTGCCTTACAGGCACAGATATGTGAATTACGTATCTGGTGAAGAGCAAATTGTGAAAGTGCTGGGAATAAACTATGGGGGGGATCAGGGAGGGGTGCTGCAAGCAGGTACTTTATAGTAACATGGCCCATCGCTATATTTTCAAAAAGTGAACCTATCCTTTACAAAAAAAAGTAGAATTATGTTTCTTGGGCCGTATATGAAAAAAAAAAAAAAGTTTTTCTTTGTTTATATTATAATATTTTGCAAACAGGTAATTTTTCTCCTTCATTGATGTGTGTTGATGAGGCTGCACTGATAGGTGGCACTGATAGGTGGCACTGATAGATGTCACTGCTGAGGTGGCATGGATAGGGGACACTGACAGGATGGCACTGAGAGGCAGCACTGATGAGCTGGCACTGATGATGGGCACTGATAGTTGGAACTGATGGGCACTGACTGATGGCACTGATGGGACTGCATTGCTGGGCACTGATGGGTGGCACTGCTGGGCGGCACTGATGGATGGCACTGCTGGGTGGCAATGGGTGGGTGGCACTGGGGGGCACTGGTGGGCACAGGTGGGTGGCACTGGTGGGCACAGGTGGGTGGCACTGCTGGGCACAGGTGGGCGGCACTTCAGGGCACTGATCATCAGGGCACTGATCATCAGTGCTCTGATGATCGGTGCTGATCCCTCCTCTGACAACTGCCGATTCTCAGCAGTGCTTTCCTCATGCTGTGAGAGCGTGAGGAAAGTGCAGCCGATAACCAGCAATTGCATTTCCCGGTGATCAGTGTGTCATTGGACACAGCTGGTCATGTGGTGAAAGGCCGCTGTGATTGGCCTTTTACCATACCACGTGATCAGCTGCGTCCGTAGGACACGGCAATCACGGAGATCGCCGGGTGCGTGTCCCCAGGGGCGTTCAGGAGAACGCGTTCTGGGAGGATGTCATATGACGTCCTCCCAGAACTGGCTGGCTGCAGTGAAGCCATCATTCGGCTATCTGCGGTCAGCAAGTAGTTAAAGTAAAGGTAAGCTGAACCCCTATGACTATGAGCAGTCACTCGAAACGCATCAAGTCAGAGCTGCAGCAGGTGTGAATCCACGCTGCCGGAGCCACGAGGGGCCCCGGCAGCCATCTTGATACTTTATGGTCAGTTTTGTTTTTATCAGTACTCCTCCTTTGTATATTTGCCTTTATATGGAATAAACATCCTAAGGATACTGCACTATGTTGCCCCCTCTGTTCTTTTGAGCTCCCATGGGAGCTAGCTACATTCACAGAGCAGCTGCATCCATTAAGAGGTTACCTCCAAGTGTGACAGTACCACCAGGCAGTGAGGGATACTTGACCAGATCTGACCAAACCAATCTGATGATATCTGATGTCCTGAGGTTATCTACTATTAATGCGCATTGAGATTGCGTATCTGGTGAGTGCGCAATCTTTAAACATTTTGTCACCTTTTCCACGGTTCCAGTTTTGGATATTTGAAGATCACCCGAGATCTTACCAACACTCCTGTTTTGGACTTATTTTTATTTATAGTGTTTGACACCTTCTTCACATTAATAGCCACCATTCAGTGGCCCATCTATTTGCACATTATCACTTTATTTTATACTGTTATTATTCTTCAACATAACATCTGTGGATTCTCTCTAGCGCTGCACCCCCCTCCTTTTACAAGTAGTTAAAGTGCAGCATGCACTTGTTACTTGAAGATGCCTTTTGTTCACAGCACGACGCTGCATTGTTTACAACAAAATAATAAACTGCAACAGTGAGCACCAAATCATAATATCACTCATAATAACTGCACTCCCCCATCTCCTAGTAGCGTAAAAGTTTCACATTCTCTAGTAAGGCTTATCCCTAATAAAACTGCCTAGCTGCCACTTTTACACTGCTGTATCCTTTACAGTATCTTAATCCTTAAAGTAAAGCCCCAACCTGTGTTCTTTATCTCTAGTAAATGTGGGCCATCCAATGTTACACTGAAGTGTCATCTGTGGTCTCTTAAATCCTGTAGTAAGGCTACTTTCACACTGCTCCTTGCAAAAAAAACATGATAATCACATAAGCAGCTTTGTAGAGTTTTGTTGTATTTTTACCATGTTTTGCACCTGTAAAAAAAGGACATGTGAGTAATTTTTTATGCTTTTTTGCTATTTTTGTGATGTGATGTGTTTTTCAGCTTTTTTTCAATGAGGAGGTGCATTAAAGCATTTTTTACTGCACCAAACATGCACCAAAACTGCAGCAAGAAGGTCTTTGAAAAATTAAATGGACCCGCAACTAACCAGTGTGAAGAGTTCCATAGGATTTATTGGTCATGCATTTGTTTCCTCTTTTTTTAACTCAAAAAACGAAACAAAGACTGATCAGCGTAATAGCAGCTTAAAACACTTGCAGTCTTTTGTTTTAATTAGTACATTTCAGTCAATTCTCTATCAGTAAAAAAATCTCCCTCTGCTGGCTAGTTTTACACTGCTCTATCTATTAATTCTTAATGAGAGTTTGATAGAAATTGCCAAGTGTCAAGACCAGGGACAAACTGACAACTCATGGGGCCCCGGGCAATAGGGGATCATGGGGCCCCTGTGTCCTTGCCCAAACTCAAAAAAGCCTATGAAAAAGGTACCAGGGGCATCTCATGGGGCCCCCTACTGACCCCGGGGCCCTCGGGCAGTGCCCGAGTTTCCAAATGGTCAGTCCGCCCCTGACTGTCAATGTATGCTGATGCTGTGCTGGCCATGAAAATGATGACGATGACATGGCATTATATGCATGAAGGTAAAAAACCTTCTGTGTGCAGTAGTGCCCCCAGCCCCCTCAATATTAGCCTGAGCCCCATCGCGATCTAGCGATGTACACGACAGTCTTGGCTGTCCCTGGTCTCTGCCTCCTTATTGGCCGAGACAGCAAGCAGGAGCCATTGGCTCCTATTTGTGGAGCAGTAGGTTTACTTCTTCAAGCACTCTCTCTGTCAAAATCAACACAGCAGTACTGGTTATCCTTGTGCTCATTCCCCCTCCTTCCTTTTCCTCTCCTTTCCAGCCTGCAGAGACTAGTCCTTGTTCTGTCCTGCACAGCAGCAACCAACATTTTAATCAAGTCCTACCTGCTGTCAAAAATAATAAATCAAAATACTACAGCCTCAAATGCAGTCCCCATTAAAACCAGAAAGCCTGGAGTTGCAAGATGTAGAGCCAGTAACACACTTGCAAAAGTTAGCAACGTCAACCCAAAGTTGACAAATTCCTAACTATGTATATTTCACTAATATACTGTGGACTGCAGTGCTACCCACATGGAAGAAAAAGATCTGAAGAATATATTTTCAAAAATATATTTTTCAAAATATATATTTTTTTTTTAAATATATTCTTCAGATTTTTTTTTACATATAAAAAAAGTCATTTTAACATATATTTTTTTATATATATTTGTAAATGCATTCCAAAAATGTAGATTTGTATTTTTAAAGACATAATTTATATTGAAAATGTATTTTTACAAATATTTTTCATATACTTTGTAATAAAAACGCATTTCAACATGAAGTGTGTGTGTATATATATATATTTATATATATTGAAATATATTGAATATGGCCAAAATTGTAGCATTTCAAATATATGTTAATATATTTGGGAAGAATATTTTTAAAATGTATTTCAAATATATTTTTCTTCCATATGGGTATGAGCTGTACTGTATATTCTTATGCTTTTGCAACCCACCTTGTTCACAGTTCAGTTTTAAGACTACTTTTTTCTGTGTCATCAAAAACTGTAGTTGCTTACATCCATGGCAGTCTTTTTTCTGTTGGTTTGTTGGTGTTGTTTTCTTTTAATTTATGTTTATTCATATTTTTTTTAAAGCTATGCTAGATTTAAAAAAAATGGGCTTGGGTTTTATGTTTCAAAGTTTATTTTCTGTGGGAGAGGTAAATTGTATTCTTTTTTTATTATTTCACTGTGTTAGTGCTATATATAAATCCTGAATAATAATAATTTCAGGCTTCACAGTATTATTTTGGGTTCTGCAGGCAAAGCTGCCCTTTGTTCACAGTATGTCACTGCATACCTGTGTTGTAAAGTAACCTGCACCAAAGCACCACATATTTATTCCCCTTATAAAAATATAAGACAGGCTTAATCCCTTTACGGTTTAACCGCCACATATATGCTTATCTTTCTTTGTGCTGGGAGCGCACCACACAGTGCACTCCCAGCACAGAGACCAGGCTCTCACTGAGAGCTCCGGGTCTTTTACTAATGACCAGAACCCGGGACTCCCTGTTCCATGTCACCTGATCAATGTGATAGCCTCTGATTGGTTATCACAGTAATCAGTCACTGTGAACCTGCCCCTGTGCTTACTTCCTCTTTTAATGAAGGGAAAGATACATTGGTTTCTTTTTTTCTCTTCTTGCAGGGGGGGAAGATATAAAAAAAAAAAAATGAGTAGAAATAAATAAATTAATTAATTGATTAATTAAGTAATTGATTGGTTAATTGATTAAATAAATAAAAACACATTAATAATTTGAGCAGCACAGTGGCTAAATGGTTAGCACTTCTGCCTGGCAGTACTAGGGTCGCTGGTTCAAACCCAAACCATGGCACCATCTTTCTGGAGTTTGCATGTTCTCCCTGTTCCTACAGAGTACCTCTCTGGTTTCCTCCCACACTGTAAAGACCTGTTGGTAGGTTAATTGGATCCTGTCTAAATTGGCCCCTAGTATGTGTATGCATGAATATGTATGAATGTGTATGTATGTTAGGGGCCTTAGATTGTACACTCCTAAATTATTATTAGTGCCAGTGTCAGTATGTTTTAGGCAGATAAAAAATGCAAAATGTGCACCATTGTTTCTGGGTCCTACTACAGACACAAACAACAACTAACATACACATATGTGGCATCACTGTTATTGTCAGGAGCAGGAGACATTATTTTGAGTTGTTCCTTGGTGGTAAATTATGATGACAGCAAGAAATATACAACTTAAGTTGAAAAAAACTGGGTTTATTTTGTTACTATTTTGGGATTAGTGTACCTTTGATAACAGGAAGCCCAATTTGTGCAGAAAAAAAAAAACAAGGTATAGTCCACTTGGATGCCCACAGTAGTTGTGATAATATGTACAATTCTACTGACGCATGTCAAAGTTGCAAAATTGTGCTAATCATTAACATTTATTTTACCCTCAGTCACTAAGCAAGCGGTTTTAAAGAGAAAAACAGAGCTTCTGCAACTGGAGTTAGCAGGGGGTGAGCAGACCCTGCAGGACAAAACATTGGTTGGGCAGCACCATCTAGAGGCAGTTAAAGTCTGCCATGCACAGGAGGTAGTTGAGTGATTGAAAATGTCTTCCTCTTTTTCCTTCCCCAAGGTGCAGAGGAGCCAGTTGCCTGTAAGTGCTACTAATGTACCCACTTCTTCCTCCTCTTTTAATAACCCTGCAGTGTGCTTTACCTATGTCGACAATATCTCCCTCTTTACTATACCACCTCCATTTTATTTCCACTTTCCTATTTCTTCCTTTAAGGTTGCCATGCATTTTACAACATGATTGTACAATTTCCTTTAGCTCT